TAGGATCCTATAGGATCTTGAATAGGAACAGGATCCTAACTAGGATCCTGTATAGGATTTAAATCCTGACTAGGATCCTAGAAGGATAACAAATCCTGAATAGGATCCTAAGTAGGATCTTAGAGATAAATAGGATCCTATGTACGATCACTGCCCTGATCAGGATCCTGGGCAAGAATAATATCCTGGATGTATAGAGGATCCTATGTAGGATGATTATCCTGATCAGGATCCTGGGCAAGAAAAGGATCCTGGATTTTATCTAGGATCCTATGTAGAATCACTATATCCTGATCAGGATCCTGGACAAGAATAGCTGGATTCTGGATATATATAGGATCCTATTTAGGATCACTATCCTGATCAAGATCCTGGTCAAGTTCCTGGATATACATAGGATCCTACGTAAGATCACTATCCTGATCAGGATCCTGGTCAAGAATAGGATCCTGGATATATATAGGATCCTACGTAGGATCACTATCCTGATCAGGATCCTGAGCAAGAATAGGATCTTGGATAATTATATACTAATACGATCCCATGTAGGAAGACTATCCTGATCAGGGGGTGGGCTCTGTCAGTCTCGGGAGACTATGGAGTTGCACTCTGGGTGGTGATTCAGATGCAGTGTTGGGATTGGGTGTGATTGACAAGTATTGTACAGTTATAAATCTGCAAACAAAGCAAAACTTTTAGACTTTGCACTTAACAACGACATGAACCATTGTCTTTAAAACTGTTGACAGTGCTTTTCTTTTTAAAACCGTCACAAAGAGGTAATGTTTACCTATCAAGTAATGTAAGGTGAGCACTTTGCTTTGATCGTCAGTTGATTTAAAACTCAAAGAATCTTTTATATAAATAAGATCAAACCTGAACTTAACAAACAATTACAGCATTATAACACTTTCCTAGCATTTTAGTCTACACCTTTGATGTTTGATGTCACGTTGTAATTAGTGCCTGCTTTTGTATTACATATTGTAAATAATTTATTCATCTGCTGTATGCTATCTAATTGTTCATACTCAGTTACTCATCGACTGAAGATGGCATATGCATGCCAAAACATGTCTTTCAAAAAAGTCGTATATTTCTTTACAATGTCTACCATACTTGCTATTACTTATGGAATTATTGTTTTAACCGAATTTAAAAAAGGTGAAGTCTTAAGATTATAACCTTGAAGAAGATCAATTATTAATCTTGACTTCACACACAATGCCAAAATGGCCTCCACCACCTTGGATGATTTGCTAGATGTAGTGGAATTCCATGCTGACAAAGATGATTTAAGACAGGTCAAGAATGACACGAAAGATTACAGATGCCTTCCACAAAGACTTTGTTATGGAAAATACATTTTTGTCTAACAAAGAGGCAAACACAAGTAGAGCAAATAATTACCTTTAGTTAGAAGTACTCCATAAACTTCCACTCTCAGAACCTTCCAAATGTTATATGCTATTGGCTGAAAGCGGATAAACGTTGCACTTGCAAATTCCTGAAGACTGTTTTTTATGATGCCACTTTGATTGGAGTTTCCAGGAAAGACCTATTTTGTGGTGCAAAATTTTAAATAATTTTATCATTATATTACTGCTATATTGTATCATTAACCAGCGGTTTCATTAAGGTTTGGGGCTTGAGGCATACAAATTTGGCACCCAGGCATACTTAATGTGTGTTTAAGGGTGTTAAGTTCCTTGAGGGGGTCTGGGGGCACGCTCCCCTGAACATTTTGAGAGTTGAAAGTCACAGAAATACATTTTCCTCCATTCTCGAGCAGAACATGCTTTAGATGCAAAAGAGGATGTACATCATGTCTTTCCATGATAGCCTTCATTTGACACATTAATCAACACGTAAATTAGTTTTCTAAAGCAAATCCAAAATCTTCCACATTTTGAATTTCTAACAGAGGGGAAGATTGTTGTTACTTTACAGTCACCACCACCTGATGAAAATCTTCAATTTGTAGCATCGATGGATCCAATAAATGTATACAGCTGTTCTTAACTGTTCTTTTCAGTTATAACAAAAGGTTGATAAGCATATAGCAAGCAGGCTAATATACATATTTGATCATTCTATTCTGCGAACTGGAGAGTGGCACTGATTGCACCATTTGCATATGCATAGCTCCTTCAAACCACATTTGTCCTTTTTATTCCAAATGTACTTACAGCAGGGAATGCTTCACCAACTCAATTGCAAGGGTACATAACATAACATAACATAACATACACTTTATTAAAGTCTCAAGGTATTTAGCTAGAGAAGCTAATTGGGGACACTGCTATATATAACATTTAAAATATCAATCATGTACAAATTAAAATATATGCTGATATGAATAGGTAGTAAGAATTAAAATATAATTAAGAATTAATTGAATCAAGAATCAAGTATGTTATGTACATATATGACCAATTAAGTTAAGAAATTAAACTAAACTAAAAATGTAGCAGTAATAATATTGCTATGTTATACAAGCGTGACAGCTGCAGGTTCCATCCAGCACATCTCAAACTTTAATGCCCCAAACTGCTCCCTGGTGAAAATCCTGTCCAGGATCCTGTAGGATCCTGTAGGATCATGTAGGATCCTAAAGGATCTTGAATAGGAACAGGATCATAACTAGGATCCTGTATAAGATTTGAATCCTGTCTAGGATCCTAGAAAGATAAAAACTCCTGAATAGGATCCTAAGTAGGATCTAAGAGATAAATAGGATCCCATGTAGGATCACTGCCCTGATCAGGATCCTGGGCAAGAATAATATCCTGGATATATAGAGGATCCTACATAGGATGATTATCCTGATCAGGATCCTGGGAAAGAATAGGATCCTGGATTATATATAGGATCCTATGTAGAATCACTATATCCTGTTCAGGATCCTCAGGACAAGAATTGCTGGATTCTGGATATATATAGGATCCTATTTAGGATCACTATCCTGATCAAGATCCTGGTCAAGTTCCTGGATATACATAGGATCCTACGTAGGATCACTATCCTGATCAGGATCCTGGTCAAGAATAGGATCCTGGATATATATAGGATCCTACGTAGGATCACTATCCTGACCAGGATCCTAGCAAAAATCAGACCTGACCTTTTTTTTCAGGTCTGATTTTTGCTATTGCATAAATTGCGCTCTCAACTGCGAGGATCGTGCATCATACGTATCTAATACCGCAGTTCAAAATATATGAACTTCATATATAGATTGTATCTGATTTATCATCACGGGTTTATTACGAATCAACTTAAAGGCCTGCTCCCAGTTGGCTTGTTAGCTCAATTGGTAGAGCGCTGCACTAGTATCGCAGAGGTCAGTGGTTCGAATCCCGTACAGGCCTGATTTTTTTCAGGTCTGATTTTCGCTATTGCATAAATAGCGCTCTCTACTGCGAGGATCGTGCATCATACGTATCTAATACCGCAGTTCAAAATATATGAACTTCATATAT